TACCCAGGTATACCTATACTATTGGTGACGTCTAGTGATCGGCATGCCAAACTCATCGTTCTTCATCTGCACCTAAGCCTGAAGGCGTCTCGACCATATGGCTCTCTGCACACACGTCGACAATTGCGAACATCATGCGGCATCTCACCTAACAGAGACTGTCCTGAAAGCTCCATACTCCCAAGGACACCAGCGGTGGCTGTATTTCCATGCCTAGTACGCTTTTGAAGGCGTCCCAAGCACGCCGCGTACCGCTGTGCCTTCTCGATCGGATCGCTGCCGCGCTCATGGTCACGTTTGATCTTGTATGATCCACGTCTTGCGGCACAGCGCGGTCTTCTGTTGGCTCTTCACCAGTCGATCTTCCTGAGTATTGCAGAGCCGATGACTGCAGAAGAAAGCTAGAAAGGTGCAGATATAGCAGTCATCAGGATACTCCTCGGATGTATGAGGCAATTGTGTCATCGATGAAATCGGAGATATACTGGAACGATCTATGTCTCCGCGGCGCCAAGGATTGGCACCACAGCCGAAGTCTAGCCGCCGCATGAAGACAAAAGCTGGAGTCCGCCAATCTATTCATCTACTACAAACACAGCCAAACCAATTGAACCGCCTCGCCTCGATCCTCTCCAGAGCGATCTCCTTACGCGAGTGTGACTACACACCAGGCTCAGAGTAATGAAAACCTGTAAGCCGGCGAATTGAACCCTTCGGGGATGCAAGCGCAGGCGACAAGGGCGAGAACCATCGACTCAAGCAACCATGCTACCAAGGGCTAGTGGGGGCATGTAGAGAGCATCGCGAGGACAAACTTTCACAGGAGACGGGAACAAATGACAGAGAAGCATTGAGTTTCGCGAAAGGGCAGGCGTCGTCGTTCTCGTTACGGACGTGGACGCAATTGAGGAGATTTCATTGGGCTATAGGCGACACGATGCACGTTACCACAGCGCGACGAAGTCGATTTGAGCTCGCAAAGGCTTGCTGTGCGCTGGCAAAGCGAGCAAGGTGTTGACAGGCATGGTGATAGGGGGAGATTGACAAACAAGTACCTGTTACGGCGTACTTGTATTCGTGTACTGAGCTAGGACTTCTCTTAGTTATTTAGACCTGGGTAGCTTCATTGACCTCATTTTCGTCGGGAAACGGAATTCTTGGAGGCCACAGCAGGAATTGAACCTATCTGCTGCCGCCGGCCTGTTACAAGCATGCCTGCCTGATGTCTCGTAGCCTGTATTTGGAGTTTGCAACTGGGTCTCCGATCTACTGCAGAACGCATACCCGCGCTCTCTTCTGCTCGTCGCCTTCTCCATCCTCCAACGCGTCGTAATACATCTCATCCTTCTCCGCCATCTCGTCTTCCTCCGCCATCTTCTCATCTGCTGCTTTGTCCCCTGCGACGTCGGCCTTCGCATCCCGGCGAAATCCCCGAAGTTTCTCCTGATTGATGCTTTGAGCGACCTTTATTTCTTGCTTGCTGACCTTCTCTCTCACAGATGTCTGGCGGGTAAAGCTTGGCTTGGTGATGAAGGGGGCAGCGAATCTCTTGTCCGACCCGAAGTCTGTTTCCTTCTCGAGCACGAGCAACTCATCGCTCCACTTCATCTTGCCCTCGCCGTCCGCGATGTTGTCTTCGGCAATATCTTTCAGAGTGAACATGGTACGAATGAGATCGGCAATCGTGGCAGGTTCCAGCGCAGCCTGAATGGTGATCTTGTCGGTGGACTCGGGCGGCGTAAACGTAAAGTGGAGGTTCGTAGGAAGCGGTTGTTGCGTGAGAAAGGTGCCAGCTTCCTTGCTTTGAGAAATGCCTTGGCCTTCTGGATGTCGTCTTCACCCTCGATGCGTACGGTGAAGTTGACGAAGAGCGCGCTCTGCTTGATCGTGTAACGGAAACTGAAGGCGCCTGTCGATTCGTAGATCAGACCGTTCTTACTCTCAGGTTTGATCTGCTTGGCCACGATGCTGGTGCACTCTAGACTGGTCCAGATGGCTTCGCGCTTTTCGGAATCAGGTGGAATTCTTGTGAGGGCGCCACTCGGCTCCGCGAAGTGCTTGATGCTAGCCTGGCGCTGCATTTCCTGGTCTTTCTTGCTGGAGGACATTCTGCTCTTGCGTGTATGGCACGTTAGGCGCGAGAGGGTTGTGGCCTGTTGTTGATGACTTCAGAGCGTAGGGCGTAGACGAGGAAGCGGAGAGCTGGTGAAGGAGTAAGACTGTAAGACGGGCTGCTAGCGTAAGTTCTTGTTCAGAGCCGTGAAGATACCGTGCAGCAGTATTCACCGCTTGTACCCGTTCTCGCGTGACTCTTCCTCGAGCATAGGGGCAGGCTTTCTCCAGAGGACCAATTGGTGCCGTGCAGACGAAGGTAGCAATAGCGTATTGATGTAGGACCTACTGGTGGGAAACATAGGGCGAGATGATAGACCTTGGAGCTAGGCCTTCGTATTATCGACGGCTAGCAGTTGGACATCACTGCGGCTGGTTTCTCATTCATGAGTCTCGGGTAGTCCCGTCTGGACCCTTTATCTAGCAAACAGGCTTTAGCTTGATATACAGTCAAGCTTCTCCTTCTACTCCTCAATACCACACAAACATAGACGTTACCAATGGTATAGGTATACCTAGGTG